GTAATGTATGATAGACCAATCAAACGATTCATCAGTCTCTCATCACCAAATACAACACACGTTAAAAAAAAAATACTACAAACACGTTGGCTTAAAACAATTCAGTTTAATTTCAAAATGAAATCTAGGGGAGGGTACGAGTGAAACCATATAGCAATACAAAATATAAAACGGGAGTGATTTAAAAAAAAAATATCTTCACTACTTTTATGTTTTCCTCAAAACTCTTTCACTCGAAAATAATTGTGCACACATAGTGTAGTAGAGATTTACGAGACTAGAATTCCTTTAATCTAACTGTCCCTATACTTCGCTTCCCTAGCTATTTTTCTGGTCAATTTCTGGACTTCAAAGCATATTGTGGATCCCTCCACAGGTAGACAAACACTTATCTCAAGTGTCTCAATAAAAGGATAAATAAGAAGATGTCAATCTTTCAGCCCGTAAGAACCCGAACTAAACGCTTGACCAAAGCTATGAAATAAAATCCAAACTAAACTCTCAGAAAAACTCGAAATATCTCAGAGCTCTCTTTCTCAATTGTTACAAAACAATGATGAAGAATTCTAAATATATATGCATCCTCTTTTGGTAATCAATCTTCAGTGGTAGTCAGTTTTCTTTAATATCTGGTCTTCAAGATCTTTAGAATAGTCTTTAACTTGGAAGAGTCGAAGTTATATAAGAATATAACTTTCCTTAAATGTGAGATTCGGTGAATCTTAAACCAGCTATTCCATATTTCTGCGATCCTCTTTCCATCTACGTCCATGTCACGTCCAGGTCTCGAGCGTGTCTAGATCTTCATGTTGTTTGTTCGTACAATAAATAAGAAAAAATAAATCCAATGTATATCCAACTCAATACTACGTGAATAAATACATAAGAAAACATAATAAGTAAATTAAGCTTTTCTTTTATTTTGTTTTGTTTCCTTTTTAAGTGACCTACAAGAAAATTAATAAATAAAAAGAGATTATTTGAATTATGCCAATTCAAAAATTCTAACAATCTCGCTCTTTGCCATTCAGTTCAAAAACATTATTTCTTGTAGTCACAAAATAAGTTAAGTCCAAAGCAATATCAAAATAAGGACAGATTAATCATGTAAGAACATCAACCAAAGTTCCTATGCATAATAAATCAAAACATATTTAAACTATACATTCCCTGCAACAAAACAATTAACCAAACATACAATACTCCTAAGCATCATAAAATATAATATCCAAAGGTATGAAGAACAACACTCGGTTCTTTCATCCTGCAGAAAATCATAAAATGTAACTGTTCAAACAACGACCATAAACCAGGCCACCAACAAACCAAATATCCAAAACACAATTAGACCAATAGCAGATAAATGTTTATTACACCACACCCTCACTGATGTGAAAATATGTCTTTAACCGTCGACTTCGAGTTTCGATTACCTACAAAACGTCGTGAAGGGGTCCCACGCAAAAAATCTCTGACGCTCAAGTCAATACTTTGCTCGTGAGTAAACTGGAAAAAAAAAGCTTAAGTGCGTAACTATGAATTGCATATTGAAATAGAATCTGATCATCTTTATATACTAGGGTGCCTTCATGCTCAAGACAGTCCTAGCTAAAAAAGATATCTTCTCGTATTTACTTTTCTAGCTTACCACGTCTGTAGATTCTAAGACTCCTCATCAAGATATAATTTCCATCGTAAAAGAATCATATCCCTTATTTCCATACGGATCTTAGGTCTTTGAGATTGCTGGAACGACCTATCCACGTACCTTCCATAAGTAATGACTAGGTCGTAGCCACGACCTCCGGGTCGTGAGGTCCCTTTATATATCCGAGTTATCAAGGTTCTTCGACCTCCGAGCTCTGTTAGTGTTATTTTTGTTATGTTTTTATTAATGTTTTTTATTATTATTTTTATGTATTTTTAGTAAGTTTGTGGGATTTTGGGTAGTTTTTAGTTTTATTTAGTAATTTATAATATTTAAGTATTTGTGTGGAATTTTGTATATTTTTCTTGTATTTTTCGAGTATTTGTAAAATAAAGGAACGGTCGAAAATCTCGGAAGAGCAGGATTTTGGAAAGTTATTGAGCATGATCACATTAATGGAAAGAGGAGCTTGTTAGCTACACACAGGAAAAAGCGGAACTCGATTTCGAGTTCGGATGAGTTCGTACGGAACCGAAGAGTAAAATCGAGCGAGTTGCCGACACCTTGGAAGTTAAAAATCCTTAGATAATTGTATTCTGGGTGAAATTTGTATTGGCATACATCATTGAATAGAGGGGTTCGTTAGCAACGCGTAGAAAAAAACGGAACTCAATTCCGAGTTCGGACGAGCCCAAAACGAGCCCGAGAAGCAGAGCTGCCCGAGACGTGCGCGAATGCGCGCGGAAAAATTCATTCTCGGATTTTGTCCGAAAATTCCAACCTTTCTCTCATTTTTCCTATCTTCTTTGACCTTTTCTTGCATTTTTCTTGGTGGTTGAATTATTGTTGAACTTTGGTTGATGTTAGTTGATGTTAGTATGCTATTTATATCT